GGATGGCATAAAGAGATGTGAAGCTTCCAAGTCATTCACACAGTGGTGTTTCTTCTAGCTCAGTCACAAGTGAAGGTGAGGTGTCCCATACTGGTGAGGGTGTCCATGTTCCAGCACTGTGTGACACTGCACAGCCCTGAGGTTACCCTGCCTCATGCAGACGTCCTGAAAACTGTATCTTGCAGGATGCTCTGCCATGCAAAGACAGCGGTTGGGGAGGAGGAAAACATCAGACCTTGAATATTGTATTCAGTTTTGGACCCCTCCCTACAAGAAAGACATTGAGGTGCTGGAGCGTGTCCAAAGACGTGCAAAAAAAGCTGGTGAAAGGTTTAGAGACTAAGACTCATGAGGAGTGGCTGGGTGAACTGAAGAAAAGGACACTCAGAGGAGGCCCTCTTGCTCTCTAGAATTACCTGAAAGGAGGCTGTATCAAGGTGGGAGTTGGTCTGTCCTCCCATGTAACGAGTGATAGGATGAGATAAAATGGCCTCATGTTGCACCATGTTTAAATTGGACACTAGGAAAAGTTTCTTCACTGAAAGTGTTGTCAAGCATTGGAACAGTCTGCCCAGGGAAGTCTTTGAGTCACCATCCCTGGAGGTATTTAAAAGATGAGTAGACATGGCACTTAGTGGCATGAATTAGTGGTGAATTTGGTAGTGTTAACGGTTCAGCTTGATGATCTTGAGGGGTTTGTCCAACCTAAATTATTCTATCCTCTGATTCTATATACCTGGCATATAGAAGGGAACACCACATCTGGAAGCTCTCTTTAAAAGGGCTTGACATATTCTAGCTGTTTGCTGGTGATATGAAACCTGGAAGAACGGGTGGAAATCCCTGAGTGTTTCAGTGCTCTATGGGAACTGGGTGCATGCTCAGGCTGACCTAACCCAGTTTCTCACCCCCCCCATCTACTCAGTCACTCCAAAGCCTGGTGAGGTCTGATAAATGACTCCTGACTCAGCAGAACATTGCCATACGACAGTACAGAGCTGGCACTGTGCATGTTTCTGCATTCCAGACATCTAGCTAGGGAGAAACCAATACATTTGTAAAGAACGTTTGTGAAAGAAAAGGGTCGTTGTACCCTCCGAGTCATTTGAGGTGCTTAATGGAAGCACCTTTGCAGGATGGAGTCCATAGAGATTCGGCTCTTGTATATGAATTACTATTCATTTCACGGAAGTGATTGTATTATCCAATAGGAAGGCTTTGGTGATGGATAACTGTGGAAATTACAGGCTCCACTACCTAGTTTTGAATTGTCCCTGTTCTGAAGTGGAGAGACTGAGAGGCAGAGACCTGCTCAGAATGCCAAGGGCACTGGGCTCATTTTAGAGCCTAGCGTTGCCTCCCTGTCCCCCGCCAGCATCACAGCAGACTCTTCTTCTCCAGCAGAGCTCTCTAGCAGATATGGCCACAGCCGCATCCCCTTTGCTATGGATGACCTTGTACAAGCAGGCTACACTCCCTGGCCAGTCTCAGTTGCATGAACTGTGGCAGCTGGACACTTTACAGTGTGCCAGGCACTGCTTCCCTTCCCTTTCCATGTTTTCATTCAGCTATCCCTGGTCCACTTTCACAGGTGCAACCAGTGTCCTAGGTGAGGACTTTGAGGAGATCAACCGGATGTCCAGCCACATGGGCAGCTCCAGTGTCACAGACTCCTCATGTCCCTGAAGCTGCTCAGAAGGCTCACACAGCTCTCACCGCCCAAAAGCCCTGGGAGTGCATTGTCCAAGGGACAGCTAGAGCTAGGGATAGAGACTGCCACTAGGCCTGTTTCCTGGCACTGTTGGGACTGCTTTCACTGCAGACATGGCAGCAGCAGGCTTTGGAACTATGTGGAAGTCAAAGCTCTTTGGGAGCCTCAACGGTGCCTCTGTTTACCCCTGCCTGTCACTGCTGCTGCAAAGCAATGTCCAGAGACCTGCCTATCCCACCTGCAGTCATGAATGCAGACCTGAACCCAAGTTTATCTGTGGGATCAGCATGGGCAGCTGGAGGAGCTCTGCTGCTGTCACTCTAGCAAGATGTCAGGGCACTTCTCCCAGTTTTGTCTTGCATGACAAGGGTGGAGAAGCAATTTTCAGGCCCATCCTTCACCCCCTGACTTGTTGCAGGTTCAGGGGCAAATCGCCTGGTTGCAACATGCTCCTCTGGGAGGAGGGCTACCAGTAGCTCTGTGTGATCTACTGTAGTGCCTGATAACCCCTTCCTCCCCCTGCCTTTACTGAAGCATGAAGAGATAGAAAACAGATAAATTCAACTGGCAATATTGTATGCAAAAGCAGAAATCCATGTGCATACCTGCTGTCAGTGCATTGCAAGCATCTTGCTGTCCACCAGCAAGACACAAATCTGCCAGGTCTCGGAGTCAGGCTCTCTGCACCAAGTTAAATCCAGCCATTCTGCACTGGCCCCGGGGGGCTGTGGTGGAGTTAAGTCACTCTCTTCGCCTCCCCTTGGTTTGCCACTTGCTCTTGAACCATGTGAAATAAACGGGCAAATCCCCTAGTCCCCAGGGAGGATGAGTATCTGAATTCTCTGTGTGTAGAGTCAAGACTGACCGTGTCTGAGGCTGCCCATGCTTCTACTCATGGGTCTGACCCACAAGTGTGTACTTTATCTCTGTAGTTTCTGAATAAATACTCCACACCATGCTGGGAGGCATGTGGTTTCCCTCTTCAGAAGAGCCTCCAGATAGTCAGTGTTGCTTTTTTCTCAGCTGCTGCAGATAAATAGACGTGGCTTTCAGGAGGTACACAGCAACCAACTGCAGCCACTCTGCTGCTGCGTGGGGCTGGGATGCTGGTGTCCCCCCTCTGGGGACAGAACAGGTCCTGGCTATGCACCATGTTATGCTGGGCATAACCTTCCACTCATCCCTGGCAATGCTGGGACAGAGCTGCCCAAATCCATCCTGCCTGTGGCCAAGTTGGCAGGAGCAGGAGCAGAAGGCCCCAAAGGGAAGATGAGCAATGCATTTGTGTTGTTCACCACAGAAGTGTTTTGGGTGTCACATTCCCAGCAAAGCCCTTCTCTGTGTGCAGGGAGGACACCATCTGAAGGTCTGCAGAGAAGGACTGGCCGTGCAGAGAGCAACACACAGGCAGACCACCTCTGCCTCAATACCTGAGGACTGGAAGGGGGCAAAGGGGCTTGCAGAGCTCTGGGACAAATGAACAGCTGTGGGCAAGCTGCGTCTCCTCCTCTGCAGAAATGGAAAGGGTCCAGGGAAGAAAAACACGGATGATCAATGCTCTGGACAACTCTGAGCAACTAGCCAGGCTAGGACTTTTTAGCCTGGGGAAGAGCTTGTAACGAGAGCAAAGATTTTGATGACAGCAGCTGCCCCTGGCCCAGAAAATGGTGGATGCCACGTCAGGTGGATCTCTCATCTGACCAAGCATGGCTGTTTTATGCTCCTCAGTACTATTTCCAGCTGCAGCATTAGATTTATCAGCAATGGCTTTGTCATGCATTATGGTGCTGCAGGGTCCCAGCTGGTGGTTCTAGGAAGGTGTAGAACTGGAAGAGGTCTGTAGGGATGGATTACATGAATGGTTGACTGAGCACAGTAGCCATATCACTGGCACAGCCTCCAGATTCTCAAGGTGGTCACTGACTTCAGGGAGCTCTCTTGACTGTGTGATATACCTCGGTCCCTTACACAGATGCTTGCAGTTGAGTCACATGAATGTAGTAGGAATTCAGAGAAGCATGATCCTGTGGTGAGCATCAATCTGTCCTTGGAGGGTGTCATTTCATACTGAGTCACTTTCCAAAGATGATGATAAATCTCGCCCAGTCATTCTGCAGAAATGCAACACCTAGTGCAGAACTGGAATGAACTCAGGAAGGAAGTCCTGTATTACCCTGTGCCCCCTGATCTCTGCCACTGTGAGCAAAGGGAGCCCCTCGCATACCCAAGTTGTATAAGCTTGTTACACCTCACATTTCACAAAATATCTGGTAGAAGTGAGACACAAAAGTGCAGAGGGAGCCCCAAGGACTGCTCATGCACAGTTAACACTGTTAACATCAGCTGGACTCTGCCCTGACGTGGTCCTGAAGATGGCACTGACACCGGGAGCAACCTAGACCTGAAATTTGGCAACCAGCTTGGAATCTGCATTTTGCAGAGACTGTTTCTGGGTAATTAGTTCAGTTTGGAGGTTGCTTTCAAGTGCTGGAGCAGAGATGCCAGGTCCCTTGCATTCAAGGTCTCCAGCTGGGCTATTTCTATGGTGCCCTGTGCTGTCTGGGCTGGTTCCTATTGTGAAAGTCTTTTGGATAAAAGGCAGAATCACTTCAGAGAAGTGCAGGTGTTATTATTTTCAGTTTAAATAATCTCTGTAAGCAGGGGGAGTAGCAGGAAGCCAGGGAGTTGCCTTCTCCCACACTGAAGAAACTTTTCTTTCCCTTTGCCAAATTGTCTCCTACAGAAAAAAACTGCATTTGATCAGCACCTTCTTCACCTTCGCCCCTATGTGGCCTTTCTCAGAGGAATGTGGGTGAAATAATACAGTGCAGAGGCCTGGTTTGTGACGTGGATTTGAAATGAGTGTTTCGACTGTATGCTTTCAGTAGCCCTCTGTGGCAACTGGCTTGTGCTGTTTCTCATCAGCCTTGCGTAAAAAAAGTGCTGTTGAAATAAGACTGTGCATGTCATTTTATTATTCACCATTGCTAACTTAAATGTGCAATCAGCACAGAGCACACAGGATCAATTAATCACCTGTTTCTAGGCTTAGGAAAGCTACCAGGAAGCTCAGATATGTTGACACTCCCCATCTTTCGAAATCCGGATGTCTTGCCTGGTTTTCCTAGAATAACATAGGGAAAAAAAAAGTAAGAGTTCAAAAAAAAGAACCCTCCTGAGTCATACTTTGGCTCCCGTCCAGCCCATAGAACGGAGCTGACTATCATAAAATTAGCTTGCTCGTTTTCCTGTCTAGAAAGCTGAGGTGACTGCAAGCCATCCTGATCCATAGATGTCCCCTCCCTGGGTGTGCAGCACTGGGGGTGTGTTCCCAGACCAACCTGCTCACAGCAGGGCTGTACCGACTGTGAGGTCATGGTGGCCATGGCTCTGTCTGAACCCCAACCAGCCCCCCACCACCAGGGATGGTGACCGCCCCTACCTTCATGGCGTGTGACACTTCTGGAGAAGGGGTTTCCCCTGTGTCCAGCCTGTAGCCCCTGAGGCTGCTGCCTGTGGCTCTTGTCCCATATTGCATCACCTGGTACCACCCAGAAGAGTAGCTTCACCCATTTGCAACTGTAGGCTGCTGCTAGGTGCCCCTAAGCCTCCTTTTCCCCAGACTAGCTGGGTGCAGCTCTTCTGCACCTCCTTGCAGCTTCCCTTAGCAAGCTGGTCACCTTCCCCTTCCTGCAACCCCGAACACAGTTCGTGATATTTGCCGTGCAAGTGCACTGCTGATCTGTGTCCAATCTGGTCTTCACCCTTGGTCCCTTTCTAGCAGGAACCCCTGCTCAGACAGTCACTTCCCAACCTGGATAAATTCACTGCCCCCAAGCAACCCTTGTGCTTCTCATGAGGTCCCTGTTGTCCTAGTCCTCAAGTTCATGGTGGTACCTTCTGTTTGAAGTTCTGCCAGAGGAGCCATCAGATGCATAACTAGGCATCTGCATTCACAGAAATCCCTTTGAAGGGCTTAGTAGTGCTCTCTGTTTAGACTAGATGCCTAGCTGACCTTTTTGCCCATCTAAGTTCAACTCTCCCTTCTCTAATTGCAGGCAGCATAGACAGTGCTTGGAGGCACTTGTATTGGAGGGTATCTTGGCTAAGAACTCCTGACCTCACCTTTTGGATCTGCTGGCCATGCAGCCACAGGGTGGTCGGATTTAGCAAGCTGACCCAACAAATGAATGTTCAGCTACTCTGTGGGATTAGTCCTCAACCAACACAATGAACTATATCCCTCAGCCTGCAGCTGCCCATTAATCACTAAAAGCGGTGCCAAGGATGGGGCAGGAACCTGCAGGCAATGGCTAGGGGCATGCCTGCACCTATCTGCAGGCACTGCCAGCTCAGGAGGGTGAAGCTCACATGAAAAAAGCCTCTTCCACTTTGCTAGCAGGAACACGTGTGCTTCCTGTCTGCCATGGCTTTCCTCAGGCACAGGAGCTCCTGATTTCAGATGGCCAAAATTAGACCCTTGGCGGTGTCTGCCAAGGCCATGAGCTTACATTTGCTGCACGCAGAGCTGGCATTCATTGGCATAGGTGTTCCCATCGGTTCCACAGACAGGCAAGTAGAGGAGGGGACAGGCCTGCAGCTCGACCATGTCTCCACACACTGGCTGGAAAGGAGAAATCACAGCACACGTTTCAGTGCCAGCAGCGCCCTGCTCTTCCTCCCACAGCACCCTGGCAGGAGCAAGTGCCACAGGCAACCAGATTCCCTCTGTGCTGGGAACAGGAACAGGGCAGGGTGTGCACACAGAGCAGGTAGGCAGGGAGCAGAGTCCACCACATCCCTCAGTGGGACTCAGCCCAGGCTTTGGTGCAGGTTTGATGCTGAAGCAGGGGTACCCATGAGGCTGGGGATGATTGCTGGGAACAGCCTTTCTCCCAGGCACTAAACCTCATCTCAAGCCATGAGCAAGTTAAAACAGAAGCCTCTTACCATCCTCAGGCCATTGCCTTCGTTCACCTCTGCCCCTGGAACAGAGCAAAGACCCATGAGCATGGCAGCTGTGACAGGGGCATGCGGCACTGACAGCGGGTCACATCCACAGGGAAGGCAGGGCTGTGAAGGGCACGCTCAGGACCCCAGTCAGCAGTGCAGCTTTCACAAAGGGGGTTGAGTTTGCTGCATGCCACCAACACCCCCCCAGCAGCACAGCACACAGCCTCTGTCCACAGCTGAGCCGTTCCCACCCTCTCACCCCTCTCCCAGCAGCTGTTTCTCCCAGCCTCTGCACTAGGAGCTCCACAGAGCATCCAGCACACCCCAGGAAATGTGAACCCCCACAGGGCTGCAGAGGGACACGGGGTATCTTCAGAGGACTGACTGAGGCCGAGTGACGCCGCGCAGCCGGACGACAGCCATCTGCAGGGAGAACTGCATTCCCTGGGTCAGGCAGAGCGGTAGCAACCGTTCACAGCCCGACTGCGTGGGGAGCAGGAGGCCTCCCTGGGAGGCTGCTGCAGGACCACCACTATGCACCTAGGTAGCACTGGTTTTCCAGAGCCTACAAACAGCTGCTTGCCACAGGAACATGCTGAACACATAGTGCTCTTGCAAAGACTCACAGGTCTTCATGAAGACAGGAACAACAGCAGCTGCCACCCCAGTGTACATGCTGTCCTCCCAGACCCTGGTTCCCCTTCACACTGTGGGCTGTCCCATCCCTCTCCCGAGTGCAATATGGTCAATGAGCCCACCCGTAACCCTTGCCCTGAACTGCTTATAATGCCCAGTGTGTGTGCTCCCGTCCTTCCCCACCATGCTGCCACTCTGTGTTTGATTGCCCTCCACACCTCCTCTCCAAACCGGAGTTTTTGGGTTTTTCTGCCATCCCACTCCTTTTTGATCCCTCCCTACCCCACCACTGAAGAGCTGGCCACCAGCAGCAGGATGAGCTTACCACCAGCAGCGACGAGAGTCACCAGTGCCACCAGCACCAGCTGCCCCGCAGGCATGGTCAGTGTGGGTGCCCACGCTCGCACACCTCGCTCTGCTCGTGGCTGCCTTTATAAGGGAGGCCAGCAGCTTATCTCAGCAGCGCTGGGAAAAGCAGCATTTTGAGCAGCATTTGATCTGCGCTGGGAACAACAGGACTGTGCGTCCAGAAGGATCACCTGGGTGCTCTCATGCAGCTGATAAGTCATGACAGTGCAGGTGCCAGCGCTGGAGGCTGCTTTACAATCCCTTTGCACTATAGTCTGGGCTGGACAATGCTGCTCCTCTCCTTCCCTCTGGGTGTATCTCACCTGAACCATCCCTCCAGCTTTGCAGCTCCTGTTCCTCATACGTGGCAGGTGTCTCCATTCGGGCTGGGAGACTTCACACAGAAAAGCCAGGAAATTCAAGCTGATTTGGGTGTCTGCGGTGTGGCTTGAGAGTTACTCAATGAGACCCAGCTAGGAGGATACTCAGCTGCCTGGTGCTCTGGGCAGGACACCAGGAGGGAGATCTCAAGCACACAGGAGGCTTGCCGTCAAGCTGCAACAAGCCCATCCCGTTGCTGCATGGTGCAGATGGGATGGAGAGAGCTAAACTCAGCTGAGCTAAATTCAGCTGGGTCCCACAGGTGCAGCCACTGTTTGTGCTCCTCTAGTGATCATCATGGGTGAGGGAAACTGGTTGCTCCACTCACCATCTTGGTCAAATAAAGGCTGCAGCTGAGATTGACACAACAAAATGATCCTTATCATAAGATTCAGTGTGGTGGAATGGGGCTGTGTGCATGGATACCAAGTTTAAATACGTAGAGGTGGCACATACAACAGAGAGTGGACAGGAACAACAAAGAGGTTCCTCAGTGGTAAGAGACACCAACTCTTCAGTGAAGGACTTCTCAGCAAGCATCACCACCCTGGAAGATCCCAGCTGCTTTGCCTACAAGACTGGACACTCAGCATCAGTCTTCCCACGTGAGCATCCTCATCACCTCCTTCTGAGAAGCTGAGGTTTCCACATCCATCCCCACCTTCCTCTGGTGAATCAAAATCAATTGGTGAAGGATGGAAAAGAAGATCACTGGGCAGAAAGCCAATGTTGTAGCTGAAGACCGGTGTTGACTAAAAACTCCTCTGGGACTGACTTGCTGAGATGAACTCTGGGCCAGAAGTGACAGAGTGTCTTGTTCACCCTAGGAGCAGGTAGGAGGTGCCCAAGGGACAGTCAGGGGGTAGGTGTCCCACAGAAACGACCAGCAGCCTGGGAGAGCTCCACAGCATGCACGTTTTTGTGTGCTGAGGAGATGACCGTGACTGTGCTTAAGACATTTCTTCCCCACAGTCTTACCTGAGGCTTAGGAAGGTACATGCTGGCCCTGGGCTGGCTGAGGCAAGAGGGAAATGCTTGGTGAGTATCCCCTGTGGACAACTGAGTATAGGTCCTGCACGAGGCTGCTTCCATCCTTGCCCTTGAGAGATCCTTCCACCCAGCTTAGCAGGGCTCCAACCAGGTTTTAGAAAGGGGAAAGCTGGCGGGTTCAGGGTTCCCTTTGCAGAACCATTCCTCTGCTTTGCTGGGACAGCTGTGCACATTTTATACTCCCTCTTCACCAAGTTTACACAGTTCAATAACCTTTGGCTTTTATTATTATTCCACTTTAGAAATCCCTCAACTAAAGTAAATATTTAACTGCATTAGCAGTTTTTCCTGAGGCACATGTGGGCCTGTTGGTCAAGGGGGGATCTGATAGCAGCCTAAAACTGCTGGAAGGACAGCTGATGGACCCAACCCTTTTTTGGTAGTACCAGATGATGGAATAAAAGGAACAGGCACAAAATTCAGCCCTGAGATGTTCAGGACTGGAGTTAGGGAAGAAACCCTACTCTGGAGGGTGAACAACCCAGACCAACAGAGAAGTGGAAGATTTGCATGCGTGGTGGGCCATGTAGAAAGCTGTGGGTGCTATGACCAAGCCCCAGTGTGCACAAGGGCCCTGCCACCAGCACGTGGGGTCCTGGGGACACAGCATCTCTCACTACCCAGCACACGCAGATGTATCTCCCTAAGTGCCTAACTTGGAAGTCTGGTCCCAGCCAATGCTCAACTCCACGGACAACATGGGGCCACCTCCTGCAATCTGCTCGCACACCAGCGCTCAGCACGGCCCTGGATGAGGGCTTTCATGGACCTCTGTGATCTGCAGTGTCATTACTGCCAAAAGACCCACCCAAATGCTGATGGCAGTGCCTCCAGTGCTGCTGCTGCAGAGCAGCAGGCTGTGCTGTGGGTCCAGGGTGGCCTGGCTCTCTGGGCCGCGCCAGCAGCCGCGCAGGACGGGCTGTGGCCGTGCCGCTGGGGCTCGCTGTGTGCTCCAGGAAACCCTCCCCGGGCGGGGGGTGGCAACGTGTGTCACCTCTGTGCTGGAGGCAGCAGGTCACGAGGTGCTCTGGAACACCTGTGGCTTTTCACAAGCCATCAAGCAGTATGAGGCTTGATCTTCCTCCACTTGGTTCCTCAGTGGTATTCAAATGCTGCTGCCTTCACAGAGCAGATTAAAATGATGTGCTAAGAGATGTCAAAGGGGAAACCACCTCTTGTAAACTGATTTTGTCTTTTCCTGCTTTTCTCTCAAGCACAGACTTGCAGACCCTGACTAAAGTCCTACCTACTATCCCCTTCAAAGAAGAAGTGGGGAAATTCTTCCTCAGGAGGGACCGGAGGTTTTCTGGTGGCTGCTTTTGCTCACACTGGCCACACAGCTCAAGCTACATCTGAGACAGTTGTGTGTTTGAGCCTGGGATTTCCTCCTCTGTGTTGCAGTTATCACAAAGAGGGGCCCAAACATGATCTCATGATTGCTCCCTTGTGACATTGTCCCTGTCTTTGTGCTTGTTCCCACAGGCTCACCAGCACCCACCTACCTGTGTCCACACCACCTGCCCGGTATCGCTCATCGTATCATGAGCCCTTATCTGGCCTTTGCCTCCCTGGTGACCACAGTGCTGTTTGAAGGCTTTCCATCTGGCTGGGCACAGAGGGCAGGAGGCCAAGCCGGGCTGCATAACATGGCTCTTGCTCCACCTCTGCCTAGTGGCCTTATCTGTGGTGTGGCCGTGGTGTTGCCATCCCTCCACACACCACCCCTCTACCTGCCTGTTCCTTGCTGTTACCTGTTTCCTTTCCTGGATTTTCCTGGCTTACTGCACTTGCACTGGTATTTTGATTTCTGTTTTGCTGTTCCTCCCAGGGCTTTTGCATAACAGCAATCGTCAGGAACTCACAAACATCACAGTACTGTTGGAGTAGGACATTGCCTTGCTCGTGCAGCCCAAGCCCCGAGCCTGCAGGCTGTCCTCCGATGGAACGAGGGGGAGAGTCATGGGGGAGGACACACTTACTTTCATCCTTAGCTCCCTTCCTGGCACCAGATGTTTTTTAGGGAGATGATGGTACCCTTTGTTCTGCCTCTCCACTGACCCTAAGGTCTCCTCATGAATAGGAGGGAGAAGGACCAATCTGTTATTTCCCTTTGCATACACAGACAAAAAAAAAAAAAAAAAAAAAAAAAAAAAAAAAAAAAAAAAAAAAAAAAAAAAAAAAAATAACAAAAAAAAAAAAAAAAAAAAAAAAAAAGCGCATATATGCAGATGACCAGAGGTTTTCCTTTGGATATGCAGGGGAGCTGAAACCTCACATCTGAGGTCTCCCTGTGTCACCAGGGCAGGGACCAGTCATCACCACTTCCTGGCAATTTTGTCAGACTTTCTGGATCCCAAACACACCTTTGGCTACCTCCCTTCTCCCTTTATTACTGTGGGTAAATACTCCCATGTGGCAGGCAGTGAGGAATGCTCATTATTGCCTTGATGATTCAGAAATTTCCTAGTGGCACCTTCGGCTGTGAGAGCACAAGACAGGGTGAGATCATGGGCACATCCTCCTGCCTGCTGAAACTCCCACCAGCAGAGGAGATGCCAAGGTGAGAAGACCAGAGCTTTTCACACAGCCAGGCTGCGTGCTGGTGCTCGGGGGTGCCGCAGGGTGGGGGCAGCCTCCATCACACACCTTTTCCCTCTGCTTAAACTGCCAACTGCAGCCACCGTAGCCGGGTAGAAGTTGCTGTGGCTCAGTGTGATTGAAGGAGGACTGCTGCTGCTTCTCTCCTTTGTTTTCCCTCTACCTGTTCACACCTCCACACTGCAAGACACTCTTTGAATGCCTCTGTGGCCTGCAGATGCCCTGCAGCTCCTTGGTGGCTTAAAGATGGTGTTGACCTTCCTTAATTCCACATGCTCCACATGAGGGATGGCTGTACAAGTCCTCGATGCAGCAGGTAAAACAGCATAAAAACATGGATTTACTTTTTCCCCAGTAAATGCTCAGCACGGGGTAAAACAGGCCACTGTGCTGGCATAAGGGAAAGGATGAGGACGGGTGCCTGGGCTGGGCAGGCAGAGCTCTGAGCTAGCTGGGCAGAGAATGCTGCAGGACTGTGCCCTTCTACTGTGAGCTGACACAGTTAACCCAGATGCTGGAGCAGGGGCAGGCTGTCCCGAGCACACCAGTTGTTTGGGAACTTGCAATCACTGTAATTTACAAAAAAAAAAAAAAAAAAAGAAAACAAAAGAAAAGATATCTCACAATCTCTTTCTCCCTGGAGTTTGTTTCTGGATAAATAAACCTGTACTGCACTTCAGCCTTTTATACCTTCTGAGAACAGTGTTGCTAATTTCATCTTGTGTAGGATTGAATGCTGTCATCACCCTGCATTTAGCACCAGGCTGGAGGAAAATGAGCTGCACATGTGCCAGCTTTCAATTATTTGCAGAGCAGGTCCCTTGGCTTTTTCAGGAAAGGCCTGGGCTTCCCAGTCTGCCAGCTGCTAAAGGGCCAGAAGCTACCCCAGGATTAATTCATGTAAGCAGGGATGCAGTGAAAGAGAATCAGGGAAGTCTTTTTGCTTTTCAGTGCATCGAGGGGATGTTGTTCTGTGACACCACATTTGCATGCATCTTTGGCA